TTGAGCTTGGGTAATCAACAAGAATCTTTTTATTTAGTCGAGCTATAATATAAAACCACTTACTATCATTAGGATTTTTTTAAAGAAAAAAACTCTTTAAATAGAGGGAAAGAAGGAAAAATGTTTAAATGTTGATAAGGAATAATAAAAGAGACTATGTACTGAACAAAATTAGAGGTGAGTTGAAATTGTCAAATTATAAAAATTAAAAATTAAAACAAATAAAGGATAAAGTGAAAACCTCATATCAACCAAAAATGAATCCCAATATACATACAGTCGATGTGGCTTTAGTTTATCACTGAACCAATCTAAAAGTTTGACATTATTATATTGTACCCCTCTCTGGAAAAAAACAGTATCCAAAGCTTGAACATAATGACTTGAACACATGTTAGGACAGTCTCCATGACTTATTCTACCTTTTAGCTCACTCATCATGTCCTTAGGGATCACACCAAGGTCATACCAAGTATATACAGGGATTTCGATGAATTCGTACTACTTTGTAAGACTCCCCCCTCACCATCACTTTCTTCAATCGAGATACTCCCTTCTTCTTATCCCTTTTTGAAACCCCCATCGTTAGAAACATCTGACTTTAGATCGAGAAATGGATCCTAAGGAAGAACAATGGACAAAAGCAGCTTGATCTCGAAGAAATAGAGATAAGATAAAAACCTTTCAGGAGAGAACAAGATATCAAGAAAAATTGATTGAGGGGGGAAAGTATAAGTGGCAAAAGGTGGAAGAGATTAAACCCCAAAAGGAGGAATACTTGAAAAGGAAGGAAGGTCGACCATATAAGATAGACCAACCTAAAAGATAGGTAAAGCAAGTGAATTTTGAAGTTTGAAGTCGATCTGAGCATACAGCTCTTTAGTGCTTAAAACTCGTTCGCCTATTGCCTGAGCATTTTCTTTATTGCGACGCTGCCCTTATTTGAACATTGGATTAAATTAATAGACCATCTTTATATAGTTGCGACCTCAATAACATGGGAGATCAAGTCGCCATCCTGCTATTCTTGTTGACCTCCCATTGGCTCTACCTTATAATTATCAGTTCCTTCAAAACTCATACTAAAAGATATGGTTAGAAATACATACCAAAACGAAAGTAGAAAAAACTTAGAAGGCAAGAAAGTTATGGACATAAAAAATTTTAGGTCAAATCGAGAGCAAAGAAAGCAAAAGATGGAAACCTAAAGCCCCACCAACCCTTTTATATAGATGTGATTCAGCCCAAAGGAATGGCACGATCCTCACTACATGTCAAAGAATGGCACAATCCTCACCATCTGATATGGCAAGTTAGTTTGACATCTCTAATATCACCTCAACTCAACCCTATCCTAATTGTCTTATTTTTGTCCTCTAACCTTGCTTATAAATATGAAGACTCAGGCACCATGAATTCAAGTTCATTTAACTCATATTTTTCTCTCATTCTTACTTTTTCATCTCTTTTTTGACTTAACCCTTACTGATTTACGCATCAAATGCAAACACAAAAAACACCTCTTGTCTTTACCTCTAATCGTTTCTCTCTTCTGTATTTACAAAACTGCCTTTAGGTCAAAGCTCGACATAAACAAAACTAAAATAAAAAAAAGAGCTCAATAGTTTAGTGTTTAGATGTTTTTGGTGGTTTTAAAGGTTTTGTTTGAAGATGAAGGCTACAAAAAAAGATAAAAAGGAGAAAGGGAAAAAAAAACCTCCAGACGATAGCAGTAGTGATGATAGATGGTGGTGAGTGGGTTTTAGGGAAATCCTAATAGTAAGAAATAAAAAAAAAAAAAAAAAAAAGAACATACTTTGATTTCAATCTATTTAAACGATGGTAAAAGGGTTTTTGACAATTTGAAATTTTAGATTAGAGTTTTAGATATGGCAAAATATAGTATTAGGAAAATCCAATTAGATAAAAGTGTTTAGGAAGAAAAGAAGAATTTTGGGAACAAACCAAAATTGACGAGTGATGATCGAGTGGAGACTGGTTGTCAGATTCTAGGCTTATTAAAAATATTATTTAGATTAAGAAGGTTAGATAAAGAAAGGATAATTTAGAGGGAAAGAATGATGAAAAAGTACAAGGGTGTTTTTGGGATCTTTTGTGGATTAACTAAAATGGCAGCTTTGATAAAAGTAAATAAAAAGAGAAAAAAATTAAAAATAATAATAAAAAAAAGAAAGGCCCACTGGCTTGCACCTGAAGACGTCTGAATAGCCTTGGGTTACTTTATTTTGGGTTTAGCTTATAAGTTATGTAAGGTCTATTTCAATGAAAATTTTAGCCCATTCCAAAGTCAAACTTGAAGTCTATTAACTTTGAACTTCTTACATGAATGGGGTTTAGTCCAATATTAAAATGATAAAAAAAAAAAGATTTATAATTTTTTATTTAATATTATATTTTTTAAACATATTTATTATTGTATTTTATTTATTTTTGAATACATATCAACATATATGTTTTAAGTTGATTAGAATTAAAATCAATAGAAATAAAAATTTATTAAAGAAAATTTTAATTTAAGATATTAAAAAGAAAAAAGTGTGATCCCATCCTAAGATGGGGCAATTTCTAATTACGGATAAAATTAAAAAGACCTTTTGGACTTAACGTGCTGAAGGTGGAAGTGTATCGTTTGAAGTTGGATGTCTTTCCACGTAGGTTTTCAAACCTTGGTATTATAAGCGTTATAACTTAGTGTCATATACATATTAAATCTGACTTGAACTCAAAAATTTATTTAATTTATTCAAAACGATTCAATTTTATTTAATTCAAAAAGTTAACAACTTAAACTTATAAAATATTTAATCTTGAAATAATCCGAATCTAAATGATCTGAAAATTTGATACAAACTTATATTATACTTAAATTAGTATAATTTTCTTATTAAAAATATTAATTTAATAAACATAATAAATATAACACAAATTATTAATTTAATTGTATAATTTTAAATTATCTTTTAAAATCTCTTTTCTTTGCTATTACAATTTTTTATAAATTTAAATATTATCTTTTTTAATTATGATTATAAAAGGATAAAAGCAAATCATTTTTATTATTATAAACAATAATAATAATAAATTAAGTCTTGTATCCTATGACTCTAAAATAGACGGTATGAAAGATTAAAAAAAAAATTTTGTTATTTCTATTATTGTAATTGAACTGAATTTTTATGTTTATTATATATAATAAATAAAGTTCCTTTTTTTTTTTTACTTAGATAAAAAAAAATTAAATAGATCAATAATAATCATTTTTAAAACAAAACATAATTGACAATAATTCAATAAACTAATATTATCTCATCGACAGGACTTATGCATATAGAATAGTATATAGCCGTATAGATATGGTAAATAATATTGGATTTATTTAACTAATGACCCCTTAAGACCCATTTCAATATGGACCTATTACATATTTGGTATAAAATAAAATTAATAAGAATTTTTGTTGTATTTGATTTAGAGCTAGCTATATATTGTTATTGCGTTTAAAAAATTTTTGCATTGAAAAAGGCACGTTTAAAAAATGTGATTAAAATTTTTAAATATTTAATATTGTTATAAAAAAAAAAAGGGTCTGTACATAATTGAAATGTCTAAAAGGATGCACATAAAATAATAAAATATAAAAAATGTAGAGATAATAAAATGATTTTGCATCCTCAATGTACTTTTTCACAGTAAAAGCACTTTTTAAGCTTTTTAATTTGAGTTTAAAAATCAGACTTATAAACTGAAAAACCAAAACTTTTTTTTATTGTTTAGCGTTACATTTTGATAAAAATAACTTTTGAACATAAAAATAACTTTTAGCAGCAATGCTAAATGAAATCTTATTAACTAATAATTTCATTTCAATAATAATATCATTCATTGTATTGTAATTCGTGTGGATATGAGTATATACGATCGATATTTAGTGATAATTTACGAATATTTGATTGGCTCAGAAATTGATACCTTTTCAAAGTTTTTGAAATTAAAATCTCTTAAATATAAAAATTGAGATGGTTTTGTTGGATTTGATTAAAAGTGAACCAATTATTATAATGAAATATTAAGTAAAAATATTTTAGTTTAATAAAAAAGCAAAATTACATAATTTTTTCATTTATAAAATATAAAAATTTTACCTTAATGCATGTAAATTATAATGTTTATATATTTTTAAAATATTATATTTTTACTTTTATCTTTTAATAAAATTCTAAGAAAATTTAACTCCATTAAATAATCTAATTAAATTTAATCTGATTTGATTTTAAAAATTAATAAATTGAACTCAAAATTATCTAAATTCAATTTATATGAACTCGAATATTTTATTCAAATTATTCATACTCAAAAAAATATATATCCGAATTGACCCAACCCTACTCGCCCTGTTAAGATGCCTAGGAAGGATAGGGCGATAACTTGCCCAATCGTTGATGAATTGCTAAGACGAACTCAAGAGCTGAAGCGGGCGTTAGCCCAAGAACTACCTGTATATATGTATATATGTATGTATGTATGTATATATATATATATATATATATATATAAAAGCTTTCTTAATTTTCGAGTTTCAGTACTCAAGATTCCTTACTGATGAGGCCTCTAAGCTAGCATTGTTAAAAACGGTTGTTAGTTGGTATGGACGCTTGGTCATCCTCAATCAATTTTTTTCTTAAAAGGTAATGGCGACTTAGAATTTTTTCTTCGAAAAGAGTATTCATTTGATGCCTCATATCAAGTGGATCCAAGCCTAAGTACAGTTGCATGGGCATATATATATATATATATATATATATCTACTGCTCATGAAAGTTTGAGATAAAATCATATTCCTATAGGGAAATGTGCATTATATATACTCATGCAAAAACATGAGATAAGAATCTCAATTACACTAGCAAAACTTCTCTCCCTTTGGTATCCAACAAGAATCTTAAGACTTGGAAGTGTGAAAGTTAGTGAATAACTCTAGTAATTGCTATATGCACTATAACGACCAAGAAACAATTCAAGAGTAGATCAAGAAATAGATCCTTAAAAGTTCTTGTAACAAACACCCGTGTGTGTGTGTGTGTATATATATATATATATATATTATCTTGGAATTCATATTTGCATTTGAGTATGCAATTCTAAACCTACAATTTTCCTTGAGCAACTTATTCTGATTACAGAAATTCATGTTTAACCCACTGTTCCAAATATCTCCTCTGCAGCAATAACAGGCAGTCGGCTCAGCTGTCAGCTCCCAACATAATAGGATCTAGCATTTTGGCTTTATGCTTGGCTTTTCTTTTCCTTTAAGTTTGCTTGATAAAGCAATTCAAAACCCAAATATATATCGATCTCTTTTTCTAACAGATGTTTACTTTAAGATGAAGGCAACAACTAAGGTCTCTGAACTGTGGTTCTGAAACTGCTAGTAAATATGGTTGCCTACAAGGTCTATACAAGCGTTCAATTAGCTTAACCTCACATGCGGGGTAAAGGATGTCATATTCACATCACATTCCACAGTACCAAATAATGGGGAATCACTAATCTCAGCGGAAGGCATGGTTATAGTCATGGAAATGGAAATTCTTGTAGATGAAGTGAGCCAACCATCTTGAAGCTGCAAAGCATATGATTGCCATCGAAACCACTGTTGTTCTAGCGACCATTGACATCACATCCTGCTTTGCTGCGGCAACAATCCCAATAGAAATAATGGATATGACTTGCATCACAACTTCAAGTGCTTTGAGACCCTTATATGCAGTATTGCAACTCTTGCAGTTCACCACATGAGACCAATACCTGCAGAAGTAATCGAAAAGCTTCTTATTAAACTAAGTGTTCTAAAAGTAGAAAAAATCTTTTTGGCCACTAAACATCTTCAGAGAACAGATGCATGACCAATTGTTTCACTATCTTCCACGAAATTTCCATATATACAAACATAGGCATGCACATGCAAGTCAAGGTTGTAGGGTGAAGTTGCTTGATTTACCTGTCCATCAGCTGTTCTCTAGGAGGGGATGGAGGAAGAGCTCCACTAAACTTCCCTCTCCAATCAATCTTACTGTCAGCATACTTGTTTAACCACCTTCTGAAACCAACCACTAAGGCATCTGACTTTGTAGGCACAAAACAAGCTTTTTGCCAATTGGTAGCCCCAATATCCATTATCTTACGCTCCTACAATGAGAAATTGGGTGTCAAGTGGTACAAACCTATTTTAAAAATTTCCAGTTCTCTGTCATCCATTAATCGCATGATTGTATTAGTGAGTAAACAAAAAGAAGTTTACTAAAGAATGGTTTTGAATGAAACACATCTTCAGCAAGAGAAATAGAAATCACCTCAACATGAAGAAGATACAAGTCAGAATCAAGAATAAGGTTTTGTCCAATGTGAAACATCCATCGTGGAACAATTTTATCAATCCAAACACCAAAGTTTCTTGGGAAGGTCCAAATCAATCTGCTATTACCCGGACTAACTGGAACACAAATAAAAATTAAAGAAAGTTTCCGATTTGGTGGTGATGCCTGCACAAATTACTATTTGTATGAGTAAAAGTATTGGGAAAACAAATAATAACAATATAACAAATCAATTACATAAATAGTTAATCTGAAATTGAATGTAGAACCTTTTTGGTTTCAGCTGATGTTTCAGATCCATTTCCTTGACCAACGACAGAATCAGTAAAAGCATGAAAGATGCAAGGTGCAATAAAGATATTACTGGCCCACTCCTGTTTTCCGGTGAAACCATTTACATCAAACTTCTTGACGCTCATCTCAAGTGGTCTGCCCCCTTCTCTGTCAGCCTTCACTGTGAAGGAAAATGTACCATTAGGTGCATGAATTTCATATGTTAGGAGAATGGAAACAACTTGAAATATATCAAGACCTTCTTACTTTTGGGGCTCTGAGTTCGCATTAGTCCATAATGTGCATATGGAACATGAGCAGGATCCATAAGATTTTCAATCAAGACCTCATACCTGAAAATGCAAAGTAAGTTTCTCAAGGAAATTTCAACAAATATCAACAAATTTATGTCTCCCCTGCTTCTAATTGTACACTCTCAATAGGACTTGTCTAAAACCATCAGCTGAAAAGAGATTTTTCCAACTTGCGAAATTATCCTTTCAGCAAGATCCAACTTGGTCCACGAGGTTTTGGATTTGGTTATGGTCTTTCTTTTCCCATTAATCTAATCACCACCTTTTAATTCATTCAAGGTTCGTACTATAACAAATAAAATGGAATTCGATGCAAGATAGGATTTACAAAAGTCACAGCACCTTCTAATTCCTTTAAGAACAAGATTAGAGATCTATAACTATCTACGGTAAGTCCTTGAAGGAACAGTGGTGACTAGTGACAAACACCATGAACAAAGGGAGTACTGCAAATGACATGCCTGGAGCAATATGAGTCCCAAAAGCTGTAGAAATAGTAGCATCATTCAAGAAGATATGAAGATTAAAAAATGGAAGGGGAAGAAGGAATAAGATGGAATGAGATGACAACCAAATTCTGACATTGCGGAAGCTAATAGACATACGGACTTCACTAAGCTTGAATCTACTGAAGCTATAGCCAGGTATGAAATAATTTAGAATTTGGGGATAGGATTAAGTTCAAATTCAAACTAAAGAGCTCAGTAGGCATAAGCTTTAGTAAGAGAAATAGGATACAAAAGTTTTTTTAGATAAATCCTAAAAAGGAAACTGGTTGAAGTCAGAAAATATGGCCAAACTAAGATATAACGGTAGAATTTGCATACCCATAAGGAATATCTCTGTTTCCCATCGACTTTGTAAATGAAGGATCATCCAATACTGGAATGTAAGGGGGCTTTTTCTTCATAATAATGTCTTTGTATTGAGGATCAGCATTTGGCCAAAACCACACAATTTCATGCTGCACGGTGCTTGGATAAACAGCCACACATGTTTTCTTGAAGGTGTGGACCTGCAAATATTAATGCAGAGGAGAATAAGAGTAATCCTTTTGCCAAAAATAAACACACCCAGACATCACAGAAAATTGCTAAAAATGGACTATGATTACAAAATCATCATCGTGATAAGAGGAAAACCATACATAAATGCTTATTTTCAACTTGAATACTATCATCCATAAGTATGGCCAAATAAAACAGAATTTTATATTTATGTAATATATGTTCAGGCTATTCATTAATAGGATAACCATTTATGGGAGTAATATTGTTACTTTTTTAGTTTTTTTATTATCAAGGGAAGTTCTCATCTCACACTGCTAAATTCATTTATCTCAAAATTTCCTTCTCCTTTTTCTTTTCTTTTTGACAGAAAGAAGAAACTGGAGTGAACATTACATAGTATGATTAGCTAGCTTAATCGGTATCAATGAACATCCCAAAGCCTCAAAAAGTTTGAATATTATTCTAAATATTTCTTTGCAGAAAACCACAAGGTTGGACAAAGGAAAAAGAGAAGCACATAATTTATACAGTTGTCGATGTCAGGAGAAGATAATAAGATAATTCTGGGCAATATACTTGTAGACAGGCATATCTTCTAGTATTTCATCAGAATGGAGATATTTTAATAGAAACAGAAACTTTAAGAATACTTTTAGGTACAGATATGGTATCTCTGAGATTTCAAATTTTCTTTCTTCTCCTCCTACTTTGCCAACAATTAAACCCCAGAAAGTTCCTAACAGTCCTGGCATAAGAAGAGCTACAAGAAAGAAGAAAAAGAAGAAATTGGACAGGGCAATATGAATTAAGAAAGCAAGTTATGATTGAAGAGGGATTACCGGAGGGCCATCTGAGGGAGCTTGAGGAATGAATTTGCAGTCACCAGAGCCACTGAAGCACCAACCATGGTATACACATTGCAACCTCCCCCATTGATCAATTCTTCCCTCAGACAAAGGAGCCAACCTATGAGGGCAAGTATCATCAAACACTTTCCACTCATTCTCATTCCTATCCCACCACACCACCAGATCAAGTCCCAACACCTTTTTTGCATGTGGCACCCTCTTATCCATATCACATACTGGCATAACTGGGTACCAATGAGAGTACCAATCAAATTTTCCTTGCTCACTGTCAGCCTCAACTTCAGGCTGAGGTGGCTCCATGGGTTCTGTTGATGCTGGGGATGATGACAAGGTGGTAAACAACCTGGATTTTGATATGTTTCTATGAAGTGGTGTGAAAGATGAATTAAGTCGAGGTTTTAACAGAAAATTCTGAAACAAAGGAATAGTAAACTGGGTTTCGTTGATTGTTGCTGTTGGAAAGTATGGTGAAGAAACAATGGCAGAAGAAGCTCTGAGAACATCCATGGCTGCCTATCTTTGTTTCTCTTTTTTTTTTTTTTTTTTTGAAGGAAAGAAAAACTGCTCTAAGTATTGATATGCTGAATTATTGAGAAAGAGGAGCAGAAGAGCTTGAGGCTGAAAGTGGTTCAGCGTGGCGTTCAAGGACATGAGTGATAAGAGAGAGTGGACAAAATGAGGTGACGGAAAATTTTGAGGCTGCAAATGAGAGAGAACGAGTCATTTGGCATTTATTGTTAATATTTTATTTGAAGTTAATAGCACCGCCGTATTAAATTTTGGATGTCCTTAAATTTTAAAAAGTTCTGCAAGTACTCGGTGAGACGTTGGTTGATGTCGTCTTTTCGTCTATTAAATTTTTTAAATTGATAATAAATTTTACATGATATGATATATAATCGTTTAAATTTGTATTGCGAAAAAAATGTTTTATTGTTTGAACAAATTACATGGATAAAGACTAAAATTTGTTTCTGTCCTTTCTTTTTTCTTCTCCCGGCTTTCCTCATTTTCGTCACAAAACTTTCTTATCTCAATCAAATCCCCACCAATATCAGGGCTTTGCAACTCCACAAGTTTCTTTACGAAAGGCCAAAACTTTCATGTCCAAACCTTTTATCAAAAGCCACAAGATTCTTCTCCTCACTTTCTTCGTTCTCTAAACAATGCTTCTATAGCTTATTTGTATCTAAAGTAACTAATTTCAAAAATGCAATCAAAGGCCAAAACTTTCATATCCAAATCTTTAGATTTCAACAAAATTAAAATTTTGATAATTTTTTCATTACTAACAATTTCATCCACAAAGAGAGATTTAGTAAACTTAATCAACCGACACAACTTGTAGGTAAAGGGTAGTTAACAAAATGTTGCATCTTCTCGAATCTATTTTGTACAATTCAGTTCATAAAAGAACAATTGTAAAATCGAAAAAAACTTTTGATTTTAAGATTAAAATTTTGTAATTCACAATTAAAGTCTTATAAGATTTTCAAATTGAGCTAATAACCGAATCAACTCGTCATCATTCTTTCATGGCTTTTTCAAACCCTTTATTGAGCTCTCGATGCTCTCACGATCAATTCAAGCTTAAATTCCATACTTAATCAAACCGACGATGTAGGAAATGAAGTGAGTTGATACTTAACGAGTCAAAAAGCTTTTGAGGTTGTAACTATAAGTCATTTTGAAGGTTTTAATGAGGGTTTTGAGATCAACAAGGTATTGGGAAAAAGTAGAAAGATGTAGTTCTTGGAGAGGATTGAATAAAACTTTGTTTTAAGCTTAATGAGGCCTTTAATGGAAAGATGGATGATGAGTGGTCAAAGTTTATTTTTTTTGGTCTTTTTACTTTTTTGTTTTATGATTTTATTTAAAAAAATGATAAAAAAATTCATATAATCTGTTTAAACAATAAAAAAAAATTTACGTAATACAAGTTTGAAAGATTATCTGTCATGTCATGTAAGATTTATTATAAAGTTAGATAATTCAGCAGACAAAAGAATCACATTGACACACATTTAGACAATTAAAAATCCGAGTAAAATTTTTTAAAATTTAGGAACCAATATAAAATTTAATCCAAAATTTAAAGACCACACGTGCTATTAACTCTTTTATATAAGTCAAATCATGATAATAATCTATATATTATAACAAAATTTAAAATTTATTCATTATATTATATTTATAAAAATATACTTCTCGTATTATTTTATTTGATAATTTTACTTCAAGTAAATTTTTTTATTAAAAATAATGATGTGGCCATTGACTTAATAACATAAGGGTTGACCTTGCTAATGTAATATTGATTTTATTAATATGGAGTTAATTTTACTGATGTAATAACATGAAGAATGAAATCAATTATAAAATTATGCAAATAATTCTTATACTCACACCAAATTTGAATTTAATCCCTCTAATATAATTTATAAAAATTTCATTCTTATACAAGTTAAATTTACTAATATTTGTTTAATGGCTAATGCAGTTAACTACTTTCCACTAATTTTATCAATGTGATTGTTGTCTTCTCAAAAAAAAAAAAAAAAAACTAAAAATTAAAAACAAACCCTAAACACTTTTTCTAAAAAATTTGACAAATTAAAAATATCTCAAAAATTTTTTAAATAAATTTTTAGCATGTTTTGAATTATTTAAAAACATTATATTTATTTTTAAAAAAATAATATTTCTTGAATTTTTTAACAATCATATTTAATTTTCCAAAAAATAAAAAATTTGAATTATTTAGAATTTTCCTAATTTTAAAAATATTAATTCAATTTTTTAAATAATATTTCTTGAATTTTTTAAAAAGTCATATTTCATTTTTTTGAAAAATAATTATCAACTTTTATAAAATTTTAAATTTTTACCAATATTTTATTTTTCAAAAAATAATTTGTTTGAATTTTTATAATAAAATCAAAATTTTAAAAAATTTTAAATTTTCTAATTTTTAAGGAAATTTTAAATTTTTTTAATATCTTAAATTTAATTTTATTTCAATATTTTACTTTTTTAGAAAATAATTTTTTACAACAATTTAAATATTTTAATTAAATAAAAAAGTAAATTTTGAAAGAATACAAAAAACTTGAAGCAATAAATGGTTTTAAAAATTAAATTTTGTATTGTTCAAAAATCTAAAAATATTGAAATATTGAATTTTTATAAAATATAATTTTGATATTATTGAAAAATTCAAAAAATGATTTTCTTAAAATTCAAGTATTGCAAAAAAAATAATTTTTTTATTTACAAATTTGATAAATTCCAAAATTTGAAAATTATTGTTTTAAAAAAATCAAAATCTGATTTTTTAAAAACTAAAAGAAATATTATTTTTTTAAAAAAATTAAAATATCAAAACAAATAAATTTAATATTTTATAAAAATATAAATAATTCTAAATAATTTATACATTTTAATTTTTTAAATTAAAACCTTATTTTTAAAAAAAATTTCAAGAAATAATATTTTTTAAAAATTAAAATGTTGGAAAATTTTAATTTAATTTTTTGAAAAAAAAATCTAGAAATGTCTAGGAAATCAAACTTTTTAGGACTTTTTTAATTTTTCTTTTGAATTTTTAGGACTTTTTTAATTTTTAGATTTTTTTTAATAAGATAATGATTTCATCAACAAATTTAATAGAAAGTAATTGATGGCAAGTTTTGATTGAAGAGGGATTACCGGAGGGCCATCTGGGGGGAGCTTGAGGAAAGAATTTGCAGTCACCAGAGCCACTGAAGCACCAACCATGGTATACACATTGCAAGCTCCCCACCGATTAATTCTTTCCTCAGACAAAGGAGCCAACCTATGAGGGCAAGTATCATCAAACACTTTCTGCTCATTATTAAATTTAACTTATACGAGAACGAAATTTTTATAAATTATATTAGAATGAGTAAAATGTAAATTTTATGTGAGTATAAAGATAATTTATATAATTTAATAATTTATTTCAATAATTTATGTTATCACATTGATAAAGTTAATATCATATTAGCAAGGTTAACACTTACGTGATCACATTAATTGTAAAAATTTAATGGTTTAATGATTGAATTAAGATTTTTAAATTAAAATAATATTAAGATTATATTTTTATGAATTATAGTAAATTGATAAAATTTTAAATTTTATTAGAACACAAAACCATTATCATAATTTTACCTTTTTACTTAAAGTGATTTCAACCTTCCAGTTTTAGGAGATGATCAAGATTCTGACATTATTATAAATTTATAGTCATATGAGTTTATTAATTAGCATTCTTATGACACTTTAAAATTAATATATAATGTATTCAAAAATTGTCAAATAAAATTATTAGATATTACATTTAATATAAGTTTTATTGAAATTACATTTAATATAAGTTTATTATTACAAATAGAATAAAATATATTATTTTAGATAAAAAAAATTAACTAGGCTTTTATGTTATGATAAAAATTTTCTACATATCAATGACTGGATGACTTGGTTGACTCAATTAATAATATAGATAATAAGTGAATTTTGAATTTCTTTTTTTTATAAAAAATTAAAATCTAAAATATAAAAAGGAATTACAAATTTTAAAATTAAAATTTTACATATATTAAATGGCACTTTTTAAAAGCAGATACATAAACTTCGAATTTAAGTCACTTTTGAACTTAATGCTATTATTTTAGTTTTATTGGCTTCAAAGGACAACCTTTTTACATTAGATTAAATGTTTAATTTAGAATTAAATATTTACATAATTATTTAATTCAAAAATTTTTTTATTTTATATAAATAAAAATTAAATATTATTAAATATTTATGATTAAAGATATATTTGAATAAAAATTTATGTATGTTTCGTACACATTTTTAACTCTAACAAAAATAATAGTTAAATGAAAAAAACAATCATGTGTTATTTTTTTTGTGATTAAGCATTAATTTAAATTAAAAAATTAAAAATAATCCTTAAAATGATATTTATTTAAAAAATAAAAAAATTATTTCATTTTTTCTTAATATAAATTTATTCAAAAAGAAACAAGGAAAATAAGAGTAAAAATTTCTCGAAAAATTGATGGAAACAAGTCAACAAACTAACCGAGATCAGATGAGTAGTTGAGGTTTGACTTGAGATTTGACGGCCACCAACAAAGTGATAGTTTGGAGCAACGAGCTCCCATTGCCTTAAACCTCAAATTTCAACTTAACTAAAAAAAAAAAAAAAGGGTTCATTCTTTGCTTTTCTTTGCTTCGAGCATTGTGGCAAAAGGAATTGGAGTGGAAGAGCGAAAGAACAATATACTGCTACTACTAAAAAAAAGGAGAGGGAGTGTTTAGGAAGCGAGAAAGTGATGTTTTTATTTTATTTTATTTTATTTTTTGAGTTTTGGATATAAATCAATATCAATATATGATTAAATCATGTAAATAAATTATGTATAACAAACATGCATAAAATTTTATTTAAATATATTTTTAATTACGAACATTTGATAAAATTTAATTTTTATTTATTTAAAATAAAATATTTAATCTTAAATTAAATAATCATATAAACATTTAATTCTAAATTTATCAATCACCGTTCAAACTTATTATCTCGGCCACTCACACTTCACCACATCACGCCACAGTTTAGTGAACTACATTCTACTGATGTGGCCACAAAATCAGGGCTTGGTACTTTACCGCGCCTCCTAATTAATGCACTAGATGAGGATCAACAACCTTTCAATCCTTGCAGAACTTCCTTCTTTCAAGAAAGAACCAAGGTGGTGGTATCTTTCAGAATACATCCAAGAATTACACATTCACTTGGCACATTGGATTCCTGAACCACCTTATGACACTTGGTGGAGTGATTTATCACAAAGACTTGTTAATTTTGATCTTCACTGTTCTTCAGAATTAGCAGAACTTCCAACAAATCCTTACTGACAGAATGATGAAGATCTTTCCAGACTTCGAGCAAGATTTGAACACAGAGTTACAATCACTTATTCCAATGTTGTGATTCTACTCCTGATGATTTTGAACAAGAACTATTCAGATGGGTAAATGATTGTCTCGTTCTCCAGTACCTTGAAGATTTCCCAGAAGATTTCTCAAAATGATGACACTTATGGTGCTACAAGACAAAAGATTCTCAGTTTCAGTCTAATACTGTATAATTACGTGTAATATTTTTAGTTTTCTCCAGAAGACTCCACAGAAGTTGATAATGATGCCTTCACATCAAGACAACCTTATGTTAAGTCTTCATCAACGTTATGTCTTAATCAAGTCATAATGAGTCATTGTACTTTAGTATGAGTCATAGTGCTTAGTCATTGTACCTTAAGTGATGAGTCACTATACCATAATAATAACCCTTTGTACCATAGTTATGAGTCATTGTACTTTAGTTATGACTCACCGTCCTTTAGTTATGACTCACCGTCCTTTAGTCTTATCTTAAACCACTTGTAAAGTTACTTTGTCCTAGTCTTGTCTTATTAGGCTACTAGTCCTTTACTTTTTCCACGTATAAATAGCATGATACTTCTCTAGGAAGTAATCATACTAGAAAAATCATCAAGCAAGAATCATCGAAGAAAAATAAAAAATCCCTTGTAAACAAAACCTTCCTTTATAAAATATGTTTGGCTAAAAACCTCTCTTCTCTTTTGGTGATTCTATCTTCTTTTTTCTATAGTTACATCTTTTAGCTTCATCATTCTCTTCAAACTATTCAAAGTTTGCAGTGATACAAGTTGAGTATGCTATGCAGTTGCCATATTATTATGGATCCTCTGCATCAGAAACTCTTGTTAATCTGTTAAACAGATCATTGATCCCTTTCCCTCAGTTAAAGAAAAGTCATACCGTCCCAAGATCATACTAATAGTAAGTTACTATAGTGAAAGACATATCTCCATAAAAGTCAAGCCTCCAGTTCGACGTTAAGCCAGGAAGGCGTCAGAGTCTTGAACACTGGCTAGAATACCTTGGTTATATGTCTGATCTATGGAAAGCTTATCGTTGGTATTATCTTGTCAAGTTTGATCGATCTACACGCTGTTGTCATAGTACCAGGTAGTACGGCCAAGGCTCTGGCTTATTAATTTATGTCAATTAAAATATTAATAATATATATTTATATTATATTTTATATAAAAATTATGTATTATCTTGTTAACATAAAAAAATATAAATTTTATTTATTTTTATTAAACTCATATAATTTTTTAAAATCTTAACTCTAGTTATCTTTATTTTTTTATTATTTTTATGATATATTATAATATAATATTTTAAATTATTAAATCTAATTATAAATGTGTCAATGAATAAGATATTGTACGAGTAGAATATTATTAATTCCATTCTCAATTTTTATATCATATTTAATTTTATACTCATAATTAACGAATATTTCAAATTTATTTATATCTCAATTGGATTTAACGAGTTTAAAAAATTTCTTTCACTATAACTCTTTAAAAAAATTTAAAAAATTTTTTTTTTTATTTTTATCTTATACATTTATATAATTTTTTTATAAATATATATATTTAAATAAAAATATATTAAATCTAATTAATTTAAAATAAAAATTATATTATTAAATAAAAATCTATTATTTAGCCAAAAAAATAAAAAAAGAACTATTTACTAAATATATAAAGTATAGGTACATGATAGATGATATATTACATATCCCTATATCGGAAAAAAAATTTTAAATTATACCCATATTTATTTTCATGTTATTGTTAGCACAAAATTTGCACATCAGCATGTAAATCTTGCCAGATAAACAGTTAGGTATAGGTTAGGGTCACAACCAGAAAGACTTTAAGAGACTCGTCAAAAAGCTTCTTTGATTCGAAAGTGTTGATAGCCAGAATGTCTTTAGCCTTAGTACCTCATAAAATTTGCAGTGCTCCAAAACGTGATGCAAGTTCAGATGAGGGACCCAACTAAATACTAATGGCATTTCAAACATTAGATGATACAACACAAAACTTAGCATTCACAACCATTCTCAGCAAATATCAAATCATTTGGTATTCATATTGGACGACTTAATAAAGGCAATGCCTCCCATGCGAGAGAATGAACAACAATGAAGAGACCAGTATCGTTTATATCGCAAACATGTCAATAATATACAACATCCTTGCAATTTTAGCAGTTGCTTGGGAACCAAAACCTCCGAAGTCCCAAATATCAGAAACAGATAATCTCAATATTCTACATATAATGTGAAAATATAGAACTTGGGAGCGTCGAAGCATTTCACATTAGTAATACACTTGAGGGGTTCATCGACACAAACCAAATATGTACTGAACTCCCAGAAATTCCCACTGCTGAAAATAAGCTTTGACTACACTACATTCTTCCTAATCCAAGTCAGCTTTCTTCCATGAATCTACTTCAATATCAGTCAATCATTTATCAGGCCCTGCTTAAAAGCAAAATTTAATGGGGGCCTATCCACTGAAAGTGAACCTTCCAATACCCTAACCACTTCACCAATGGAAGGCCGTAAAAATGGCTGGTTTTGCAAACACCAAAGAGCTATTTTTATTGCTATTTCTAATTTTTCAGATTCAACGCTATCCTCCAATTTATGTTCTTCATTAATCATGGAAACAAGTGAATGCATATTACTGCCAAGAATGTCTCTTTCACATGTAACAATTTGCAGCAGCAGCTCTCCGAACATGAAAATATCTCTTTCTGCTGGAGACTCTGAAGAAGAGGCTGCTTCCTTTCCGACTAGTGTCCTAAGCCCAAAATCTGTAACCTTTGGAACAAACTTTTCATCAAGCAAGACACTTTCAAGCCTCAAGTTCCCATGAGCAACACAAGTTTGACACTGTGTGTGCAAATATGCAAGGGCTCGGGCAACCCCAAGGGCAATATCAAGCCTCTGTTGCCAATTCAGTTCAGACTTTCTTTGCTCCATGTTAAACAGAAACTTATCCAAAGAGCCATTTGAGACATATTCATATAGCAGACACTTCTGTTCTCCTTCAAAACAGAAGCCCTTCAGAGACACCAGGTGCTGATGATACATTCCACCCAAGGTAGAAACCAAAACTCGGAAGTCTTTCTCAGTTGCAACAACATTGTTCAATACCTTCACAGCAACAGGGATTTCATTGGGAGACACACCTTTGTAAACAGAGGGGCCAAGTTGGTTTGCAAAGTTACTAGTCAGCTCTTTTATCTCTTCAAAAGATACTCTGATGAGAAAACTGTGATGACAATTCATCTGAATGTCCTTTCCAAATGGGATTCTTGCTTGCTCTTTAATTTGTCGTCTCCGATAAATATACCAAAATACAAACATCTCAATTGTTATAAAGCCCATGGTTGTTACTGAAACTATTAAAATGATAGCCCTTATAAACATTTTCTTGTCACCTCCATGACCAACGAATCCTTCAGATGTCAAAGGAAATGATTTGGCATTGTTTTGGGGATTAGCTCCTCTCGCTAAAACTGCCTGAGGAACCAAACACACCTTCAAGAAGGAAGTTGCAGGAATAGATGGGCTCCTATAGCCACTTACAAAGCTTGTTCTTTTAACCGTACAAACTCCCGAACCATCATTTTTTGAAGTGACTGCCACACAACTGGTATCATTGGAGCAATACTCTTTACAAGCTGCCTCACTTAGCATCATATCAACATCTTGAGGGGGATAAAGGCCATACAAAACTGTCCTTCTCAGGGTTAACATGCTAGTCTTCATCTTACAGTTATCCAAATCAGCCATTTTCCTGCATCCAGAACCACTTGAATCTACCAAGGGAAGGTCGGATCCCCAAGTAACCGAATCCTGATACAGACAATCACAAATAGGTCCGGTTGAATTGAAGCCACAAATGCTGTACAAACCACAAGAACCGAAAACGTTGCACTGGTTCTCAACTGCCTGCCATTCTACTCTCCAAACACGAAGCGAATTAAGCCATGAGTATATTCTCAGGTTACCGTCAGAATCAATCCTAAGATGCCTCAAAACCGCAGAGCGGTCTTCAAAGTCCTTACTTGTTATTGACCAAACCCTTCTACTTTTATCATCAATTAGCCCAAAAGCACCATTAGAATCAAATTCAGCTTCCTTAATAACATCATTGGAGCTCAAATGAACCCGCCAATACGTGACATTGGCTTCCCATACAAGGGCAAGCTCTCCTGAGTACCGAATAACAAAATTATAGTAACTAGATACAGATTTTGTGGAAGGGGCCCTCAAGGTTTGAGGGAAATGTAAAGACTGGCCTGGAAGAAGAGTAGTAGTTGGGCTATCAAAACTCTCCCAAACCACATTATCATCCAAATCCATGAGAACAAGGTTCCCGTTATTCAAAAGGGTAGCTTTCTTAACACCCAAACTAGAAGTATTACTACTCCAAACAATTAAACCACTAGGATTATCATACAAAATCAGCCTCCCATCCAAGGAAAGCCTTACTGTGGAGTTTTCAGATACCCTAACACCCCCACCAACAGTCCAGACAGGCAAATTTGCAGCTTTAACTCCTAAGTTATACCTAATTCCAACAACAAAGCCATCAATATTATCAGCTCTTTGGTAATCCTCCAAGAACCCAAATGCAAAAAACCCATTTTGGGAGACCCAAGTCCTGCTTCTATCAGACCCAAAAATCTCAAACCCAAGAGGTACGGATACCATTGGGAACTCATCCGAAAACCCACTATATGCAAAACCCAGAACAAGAACCACAAGTAAAGCAGAGCCGAATCTGAAGCCCTTACCTTGAAAATCCAGATGATCGGGCGAAGGTAGAAACATTTCAGCTGCGGCAGAAGAGGAGAGGTAAGTAGCTCTGATGAGTAGAGCTGCGTTTGAGAGAGTAAAGAAAAGACGGCGGAAAAAACTGCTTTTTGGGTGACTTTTGAAACAAAGACTAACTTAATTTTTGAATATTATGGACTCGTATCTTCTTTCGATGGAATCGAGGTTGTTTACTTTTTCTTTTCTTCCACCACCAGCACTAACTACAGTGTAAGCCGTAAAGAGTAAAATAACTCCAAAATCACTTTCTTCCCAAGCGACAATAAAATCAAATCTCATCACATGCAATACAATCACTCATCCCACTAACCAAGCATCGGTATGTGAATGAATTAAACCTCCACGAGAGGCCCCACCTGTATTCATCTTCACCATATCGACATTTAGAGGACTCCATCGAACCAAACATTAGCCCTTGGCAGCTGCCCAAAGCTTCCTGCGCACCTATCATGATATTAGACACCACATCTAAAATTTTCAAATTAACACAATAAAAAAAATCAATCCGAAATTGCATTGCCTCTATAAATTTCCACACCTTGCTAGCCTCACCACACTTAACATATATGCAACATGCTTTCCTCTTAAGTTCCACATACTACACAAGCTCCACAACTAAGGTGATTAGTAAGCAGTTTATCTCCCCCAGCTAGCCACACGAACTGAATCCATTTGGTTGGTGCAGTAAGCTTCCAAATCCAATCGAACCTCAAACCATCTAAATACAAATGTGTTAACACTACACATCCCAATTTGGAAATGAACATTCCGTTCCATTTGTATGGTGCCAAAGCCAACAATCCTCCATCAACTTAATTAATCTAAATAGGAAATATAGCCTACAACTTTTAAAACAACATATATATATATATATATATATGTAGGAAGACGGGTAAAAACTTAGATTAGAAATTCCACCCACCTTGTTCATCAAAGTAATCGCTCACTTTAGCATTAACATCCACAAAATCTTGGACACCCTCCATCTGGTCAACGAAAAGCTCCCCAAGCCATCTAACTGTCCAAAAATAAACGGACCTCCCATTCCTTACCCTCCATAGCAAGCCATTCACGAGTTCCTTGTAGCAACCCTCGATCGTTTTATTACAATGACCCTAGCGACACTCTGTCATTTGGTTTAATGATCATGCATATTTTCTTTGGTTTTGGTGTCAACACTGGGCAAATTTATATATTTGATTGCTTGATATTTGACTCGTGCAAGTTTTGGTGTTGATAACAGGCAATTTGAAATTTTAATTGGTTGACCTTTTGCTTTTTGCACTGCTTGATATGTAGCTAAAAAATTATTTTTCATTAGGGCTAAAGAAATTGTTGAAAGGGTATAAATGAGCTTTTATTTCAGAAAATAAAATTTTGTATTACCTATACCTCTATTAATTTAAATTACCTTTTGGGTCCATGGCTGATATCTGTCCAGCCTAAATGATAGGTGTCCCTTTCTTTTTTCAAGTTGCCCTTAATTGTCTTTTAAAAAAAATTAAAATTAAACTTCTTTCCAAATGCTTCTCAAAGAAATGAGAAAAAAAAATAAAATAGGAGAAATTATTAAATATATTATCAACATAATTTTTTTAATTTCATAAGCGAAATTAAAAAATAACATATGTTTTGTAGATAATTAAAAAAATAAATTAAAAATAAAAGTAAAATATGTATTATTATGCTAACTCTATTTATGAAATAAAAAAACTTCATTAATAATATATTAAATAGTTTTTCATAAAAAGTTTTTATAGAGATTTCGATAAAGATGTGGGTTGCGAAAAGACCAAATTAATCTCTATAGACTAGATGAGCCTTGAAAGGCCGTTAGAGAAGAAGAAAAGATTTTAAAAAAGAAAGGAATCAGGTACGTATATTAAGCTTTATAAATTAATTTTACAATCTTGATGGAATCCATAAAAATGCATACAGACAATTCTTATGATGTTTTTGTTAAAGGCTAAAATATTAAAATATCTATTGAATTATTTTATCTTTTTAAATAACTATTTATACTTTTATTGTATCAAATAAGTCATATTTTTTATTTATATTCAAATATATCTTTATTTTAATGAAAATTTAATTTATATTGAGGGTTTATTTAGGTATATATTAAATATTAAGAATTTTATTTGCATATAAATTAAAATTTTAAAATTTATTTAAATGTAATAAAGATATAAAAACTTATTTAAGTAATAAAGTTTAGAGTTTTTTTTTATTATTTTTGCCTTTTTTAAACTTAAGCTCCGTTTATTTCGCTGAAAATAACTTTTGGAAAATGTTTATATTTTCTAAATTGAAAGAGATTTTTTGTTATTTGGATGAGTTAATGAAAAATATTTTATGTTATTTAGTTGTTTTTTAGAAAATCTAATTTTTTCAAATAATATTATTATAACTATTAATATATTAAAAATTATTTATTATTAAAATATATTGACATTAATTATTATTAAAATTATTAATATTCAAAAATAATTATATTTTAATAATAATATTTAATATTAAAATATTATGTTAATATAAAAAATACTTAAAATAAAACTATATATTATTCTTTATTTATTTATTAATAATATATTAGTTACTAATATATTATTATAATATTTATTATATATAATAATATTTATTAATATATTATAATATTATTTCTTAATTTATTTATTAATATATTAAATTATAGTCTATTTTTTATTAATAATATATTATTTATTAATAGTGTGGTTGTAGATTTTTTTCTTTATATTATCTATATTTTTCTTTATTTATATACCCAAAAAATAGACCCGGCCCAAATTAAAAAAATATATCCCAAACTCATCTATTAAACTTAATTTATATAATAAAAAATTAAAAAAATATTATTAAAATAAGTTTAATGAGATTATATTCAATTAACATATATATATATATAAATTAAAAATAAAAATTATATAAAAGTAAAAATTAAATTTAATAAAATATATTATTTTTAATTTAATTTATATATATATATGAATTAATTTTTATATAATTTACATATATATAAAAATAACAAATTTATATGTATGTGAATTCGGGCCAAAGTCAGATTTTAAATATTTTGTCCAATGCTTTGCTCAAAATTTAAATGAGTTTAAAAATTATATCCAAACCCTTTTAATAAATTTTAAGTTTTTGTACAAACTCTCTCAAAACTTAGATGGGCTTTCGGGTTTGGGCGGGTAGCCTAGCCCTTGAACAAGAATAGCTTATATATATATATATAGTATAAAGGGTATCTATATATGGTGCTATAGTCACTGCTTTATTAGAAGTACTGATGTTTGTTTTTGTCAATTTTTGTCTTGATGAGTAGTTTGAAAAACTTTTCAAGTCTATGCATCAAAGAGGAATTGTCAAAAACATTGATAGTGGAGTCTTTTAACTTCACAAGTAGGATTAAAATAATAACACATGTCCTTTAGTGTATATTTAAAAAAAATTAAAAGAAATAAGAAATGTATCATCATTTTAATATCATTTATGGAGTTAAAAAACTTCATTATCAATACATCAAATAATTTCTCATATAGCAAATACATATCTTTTATTGTATTTGATATAATTTTGACAATTTTCTACATGTTTTATTTTGGTTTTTTCATATTTTGGATCATTATCAACTTGATTTCTTACTTTGAGCTTGCTATAGTTACCATAATTTTATATTTGTGAATTTGAGACATATGCATCTAGAAAATTTTTGTGTAAAATTAAAAAGTTTTAATTATTCCTAAAATAGCTTTGATAGTAAAACACAAAAAACGATCCTTTGTTTTCAATAGAAGGCAATTTTTAAAGAGGTTATGCTGTGGTATGGCAACCTTAACTTAGTTGGTTTGTATTTATTAAAACTAATCTTTAAAACATTTAGTTGTTCTAAATCCTTTTATCCTCATTTATTTCCTTAGTACATGATATTTTTGTTAATGTAAGATTTATTACTTGGTTTTCTTGAAATCTTTTTACAATTTTGTCACACTATGATATTGGAATATGATGTTATTTAAATTAGTTCGAACAGAAAAGAGAGAACGAAAATAGATTGATTATAGAGAAAAGCAAACATCCAGTGCATTTTTTATGCTATGTGCCAATGCTTATGATATTTTCCTGAGGAATTTAGATTTTATTTTTTTTGTTGAGGTATGAATTATAAATATGTATTTCTTTAACTATTTAAGATGTGACATCTAAGTTAGTTATTTTTAAATACCTATATATAAGTAATCAAGTTGCTTTTTTTCTTAATTCGGGATTCATTCTGATAAATTGTGAGATTGACTTTAGTGAGATTAAAAATAATGAACAATGATAAAAGTAAGACCAATTACTATAACAATGAGATTGAGTACTGCAATGGTGAAATTAAAATCCATGGTGGGGTATATAATTGATACAAAAGTAACAATGATGGTGAAGTGAAGTGTAGTAAAAATAGAAAATGACTATTGAGAATGTTAAATTAAAATTTGTATATAATAAAAGTTTTAGTATATTTTTAAAATTTAGGAGCTAATAATTAATTGAAATTTATTGTAAGTATTTTATAACAAATAATGATTTTATTAAGGCAAAAGAGTAAAAAAAGCCTTTATTGTTTTTTTTGCAAGCAATTAAACCTTTAAACATTTATTTTCATTAATTTACCCATTATTAAAGGAAAAATAGTTGACCCATTTATTTTTTATCCAATGGAGGGCTTAATTAAGAAAAAATAGTTGTACAAGGGTTTAATTGGGTGAAAATAGATATTTAAGAGTTCATTTGATTCAAAATTGATAATTTAGGACTGGATTAATTAGAATAAAATATCAAAGACTTAAATGATTAATAAATTTTTGTTTGAAAGTTTTTTTGATCTTACACCTTCTATAAAAAATTAATAATAATAGATTTACAATAAAAGGTATTAATCTAAATGTATATTATACTAATAAATTATTTTTATATATTTATATTTATTTGGTAGTTTTAAAGTATGAAAAATTATTTAATAAAAAAACATTAACATAATTTTTTGAGGCAGTCATGAGACAAAAGTCAAGGATATAATTGAACAAAAAATAAAAACACGGGGATATAATTGTCCAATTTAGGGTGTAATGAACCACCACACCCCTATCCCTCAAATGGAAATTTTTTATACAATCTCACAATTGGCTTTAGTTGCCAAACACCATATAAAAGTACAATGCACAAAAAAAAAAAAAAGCTTAAACTCAATGTAGTGTGCTTCTAGTTCAATCTAAATGTAGCCTTTTAGTGTTTTTTTTCTTCTAGGAAACAATCAAAAACATAAGTAAGAATATCAATAAAATGGATATGAAGAAAAACAGCCACTGAAATTCCAAAGAGGGAGACTACGTTAAACATCCCATATCACAAAAGTGTTTTTATCTCATAGTGTCAACAACATTCCACCGAGGGTGAATCAAAGATGGCTATGGAGTATTTTTCAACATCATGGATTGGTGGTAGATGTGTTTATACCCTAGAAGAAAAGTTACAGTGGAAGAAATTTTGGATTTGTTCGATACGCCGATAGCAATAGGGCTAGAAGAACGTTTGCAAAGCTTAATAGGATTTGGTTATTTGATTTTTGCATTGTGATAAATATGGCAAAGTATAATGGTAGGATAAAATATTGAAGGAGAACTAGGAAGCAAGGAATCTAATCAATGGGACTACCAAGGTTTATAAACACGAAATGCAATTAAGAAGGTAACTAGAATAGAGAGACAAAAGATGAGGTTCAAATGGGAAAGAATCTAATTGGTACTCAATTGACATATCTTTATGC